GGGGGGGCTAAAGTTTTATCACTAAAAAGTGTCATTGGTGAGCTGTGACGTAGGCCACATACGTAATCCAAAATATGTTTGTGGAAAGCGGGAAGTGCTGTGTGCTGTGAACACCCTCACTTTTTGCGCGAAGGAGAATTTGTAGAATTTTGTTTCAATTTATTAGATTATAAAGTTTTGTGTCATCTAGTCTCAATTGTTGTGGGAGAATACCTGTATGATTATAGTGCTGTCAAAAATTCGTGGCGCAACTTATCCTCAGATATCTCTTTATCGATGACATCAAAGTCACCCATACTTTGCACGACACTTTGTATAAGTTTGTCTTAACTTAGTCCTATTATTCCCTAACAATTGAGGCTAGATTTTAAAAAAACAACCTTTTATTTATACATTTATAGGCCTATTAAATACTAGTATAATTCTCCGTCACGCGGAAAATAGGATTGTTGACAGAACTTTCCACTTCCCACACACATTTTGCATACCGGTAGGCCTACGCATAATGGCCTATGTCACAGCTCATCAAACACATTTTTGGTGGCAAAACTTGTTATATGAAATTAATTTTAGAGTGAACACATTTTTTTGCTCTAAAGGTTCTCAAAAACAGGCGTTCAATAAGTATAATGTCCCGATTAGAAAAACGTAATATGACGGACGTGCTTATAAAAACGATGCTGCCCCAGCCGTAAACATTTAAAAATCTGTAGAAATCTCCCACGTGGATTTTTTATAAGTATTTATAAAGAATTTTTTTGGACTACACATAGCGAGTGGTTACAAAAATGTTGATCTGTTAAGATAAATTGATACAAGTCATTTTGCAATAGTTGGAGAACGTATGCTTGGTAGTTGAGGAGATATTTGACAATAAGTTGCGCCACGATTTTTTTTAACCCGCAGTATAAGTTGATACAAATTAATACAAGCTGCTGTGCAGAGTATAGGTGACTATGATTTACCAATTGAAGAAACTTTTGAGGATAAGATGCGCCTCGAATTTTTTACCGCGCTGTAATATTGGATCTTCGTACCCAACCCAGCACGTCCCAGGGTGGTGGAGAGGGGGAGGGCCTTCAGATATGGAGTTTATACGGGGTGTCCATGGGGGGGTCGGGTCTGGTCGGGCCGGGTTGCTAGCCAGATTGAAGGTGCACAGCGGCTATCGTGGCACAAGCCGATCACGCCCGACTCGTCGCCTCGAAAACAAACGATTTTTGTTCATGCAACGAGTTGGGCGATCACCCGCGACCCGACCCGACCCGACCCGACCCGATCCCATGCGCTATTGGCACCCCGTATTAGTCGTGCATCAAATGGGAGCTGGTCGTGGAGAGTAGATGAGAACCCTGGTGGCACAGGCGCTTCAAGAAATTAATTCTCCATATACTCAAACTAGAGATCAAATCTTGGCGGACGGAGGCGCCGTAAATCCTTCCAAAGCCTCCTTGCACTGTCTTAAATTGTGGGTTGTTCTACGAGAGGATGACAACGGCCAGCAGAGAAAACTGTACAATTCTTTCCTTTGAACATCTATTGTCCTTATCTCTCCTCCTTCTTTCCCATCAAACATCTATCGTCCTTATCTCTCCTCCTTCTTTCCCATCAAACATCTATCGTCCTTATCTCTCCTCCTTCTTTCCCATCAAACATCTATCGTCCTTA